TTTGAAAGGAGGCATCTTTGCTCTGGAAATTGTTATTGAATATATTAATGCTGTAATGAAATGCTTCTTTTAAAAAATTAAAAAAAGATATATTAAAAAAAGAAAAAAAAATCAGCAAAACAGCCTAGAGTGGGATCAAGAAAAGCCCAACATTGGTTCTTTTACTAATTCAGGCATTCAAAAGCCTATTTACACGTCCTTATGCTGGGCTCTGTATTTTTGTGCTATGAATTTTGTAGTGCCTAGAATAAGGCCTGCCCATCAGATCCTGGTCTAGCTGGGATGCACATAGATGCTGTCATAGAATGCAGGGATAGAAGGATATGCACTTCAACTGGGATATCATTTTCCCTGGTTGATGGAAAATAGTGCTGGTGGGTGAATATTAGTGAAATTCTGGGTGAGGGGGACGTTATCTGTCCTGGGAACAATAAAGGCACTGTGATTTAAAACAGCAACCTGAGAAAAGAGGGAAATAGCAGTCAGAAGCTAGGGCAGATCACAGATGCCTTAGCAACCAGAATGGAATGATGAGCTGGCTTACTTTCTGTCTTAGTTTGTTCTTCATTGTTGTGACAAAACACTCTGACCAATACCAACTTGGGGAGGAAAAGGTTTATTTAGCTTACATATCCCAGGTCACAGTTCATCCGGGAGCCCAAGGTAGGAACTCAGGGCAGGAACCTGGAGGCAGGAGCTGGAGCACAGGCCATGGAGGAACACTGCTTACTGGCTTGCTCCCCTGGCCCCTGCTCAGCCTGCTTTCTTATGAAACAATGCAGGCACACCTGCTCAGGGATGGCACCACCCACGGTGGGCTGGGTCCTCCCACATCACTCATCAAGAAGATGCCCCTCAGACATGGCCACAGGCCAGTCCAGTAGAGACAATTCCCCATTTGAGGCTCCCTCAACCCATGTGTGTCAAGTTGACACTAAAGTTATCCAGCACACTTTCAGATTTCTATTTTTATTTTAAGATTTATTTATTTTTATTTTATATGCATGACTCTTTTGCTTCATGTATGTCTAAGTGAACCACATGGATGCAGTGCCCACTGAGGATCCCCTGGAACTGGAGTTATAGATCTTGAGAGCTACCATGTGGGTGCTGGGAACTGAACTGGGATCTTCTGCAAGAGTAACAAATGCTCTTAACCACCAGTCATCTCTTGTTGTTGTGTGTGGCGGGTCCGTGGTCGCGTGCTGCTGGGCACCGGCTCTACTGGCTGGAAATGCAGGCAGGGCTCAGCGCCGGGTGCTGGTGAGTGCTGACTCCGTGGGGGGCTGCAAGCTGCCGGGCAGGTTCGGCGCCAAGCTGCAGGCCGCTCCCTCTGTGCACGCGATCCGTTGGCCACCGGATCACGAGGGGAGGTGCAGGAACGGCGAATGCAGGATCTTTGCGAGTGGTTGTTGACAGAAGGATAGCCCCCTCCGGGAAGACTGAATCACAGGCTGGTTCCAGGCACAGTGAGACACAGATACAGCTCCAGACAAGTTCAGACAAGTGATACAGCTCCAGACAAGTGATACAGCTCTGCTTTATTAGGGGGAAACTAGAGAATTTATAGTGTGGTGGCAGTAGCAAAAGCCTCAGCTGATAGGTGCTCTGTAGGATGCTTTATTTACATGTGGCAGTGGGCTTCTATGCTGTCAGACAGTGCCTGATTATCACATAGGAAAAACCTGGCAGTTTCTATGCCAGAGGTCATGTATCTGTGACGGGCACTTCAAAGGTGAGCCAGGAAGGAGAGCAGAAGGCGCCCTGCTGGAAAGGGGAGTCTCTGCATAAAAACGCCAAGCCCCTTAGGCTATCTGGACATGGAGAGACTGCGACCCAAACAGCAGGGGTCCCCAACAATCTCTCCAGGCCATTCAGAGCCTTTTGAAATAAGATTTATTTTTATTTATATGTGTGTCTGTGTATATGTATGTGTGTGCTGTGTGTGTGTGCCGTGTGTGTGCGTGCCTGTGGAGGTCTGAAGATGGCATTGGATTCCCTATGACTGGAGTCACAGGAGGTTGCAGGTGTTAGGAACTGAACTCTGGTCCTCTGCAAGAACAGTAATAATTGCTCTTAACCACTGAGCCATCGCTCCAGCCCCTGCTTTTATCTTCTTTATAGACCATGCCATAGAGTCTGCACATTATTGGGGAGCCATTGAAGTTTGGTAAGCAAGGGGGAAGCATCTACAGATCGTCAGCACTATTCTTTGATAATGACAGGGATTCATGAAGAGGAAAGAGATGTAGGAAAAGCTAAAGTGAAGGAACCAGGAAAGAATTTCTGTAAAATATAAAAGTAAAGCATGAATTACTCATGGTGTGGGGCACTGAGCCCGAGGGACAAGGCAGAGAAATAAATGAAGACAATGTTTACAGGGCAAAGTAGTCCACTGGATGTGTAGCCCTGAGGTGGGATAGAGAATCAGGGAAGTCAGAGGGATACGGGAAGGGAAGGAGCCTCACTCAGGAGTCTTGTTGCAGTCTCTTGTTTACTGAAAGTCAAGGATTCAAGCACAATTAACAAAATTTGTGTGAAGACTGTCTACATGGAGACTGTACTCCTTTTATATAGAGACATTTAAAAAAGGAATGTTAAAATAGCAATGAACAATGCTCATGTCCTAAGCATGACCTACCAGTATGACCTTACTCCTTCCTCAGTTGTAACCTGTAATTTTCAGGGAATCTCACAAACATCTGTAATCTTTGTCCATATTAAAAGCATGTATTTTAAAAAAACAACCTTTTTATTGGTTCTTTGGGAATTTCATAGAGTATATTTGATCATATTCAGACCCTTCACCCCCATCTCCTCTCAGATTTACCCCCATCTCTCTGACCCCCACTTCATACCCTCTATTCTTTTTTTAAAGCCTACTGAGTGTAATTTGTGTTCCCTCAAATACTCTTTATTGTAGGTCTATCCATGGAATGTGCTCAATTTAACCAACACCACATCCTGAATGAAAACTGAGCCTCCCTCTCCCAGGTGCTATCAGATGTCAATAGATCTTCAGCTAGGGCTGGGGCTTTATGCTTACTTCCCCACTCCATGCTGAGATTTTTGTCTGGCTTAGACTTGCACAGGGTATGGTACATGCTGTCATAACACTGTGGATTCATATGTGTAACTGTCCTATGATGCCCTGATAACACATTTTTCCTTGTATTCATCTACCAACTCTGGCTCTTACAATCTTTTGCCCCCTAACAAAGATCCCTGAATCTTGGGAGGAGAAGGTATACCATTTACAGCTGAGCACTCTGCTGCCTGCCCGTTATTCTCTACACGTTGACCAGTTCTGGGTCTCTGTGTAAATCACCATCTGCTACAAGAAGACGCTTCTCTGGTGAGAGTTGAGAAAGGCATTAATCTGTGGGTATAAGAATTAAATCATTAGGAGTTGCTTAATACTACGTCCATTTAGCAGGACATAGCAGTAGATTCTCCACTATGGCCTGTGATCTGTCTAGCCACATGTTTCTAGGTCTCATATCAGTGCCAGATATGGGCTCTACTTTATGAAACTGGCCTTAAATCCAATAAGAAAGAGGTTTGTTACTCCCATAACATTTCTGCCACTATTGCACCAGTGGACGTATCTTGCCAGGCCAGTTATTGTAGCTTGCAGGGTACATAACTGGGCAAGGCTGATAATTACTTTTCTCTTCTGGTAGCATACATAGCACCTTCTGTCACTATAATAGCTAGACAGTAGAGATGAAGCTTCCAGGGCAAAACCAGCTTGATTTCTCCTTGTTTGCTCTATGACTCACATATGTAGTCTCTTTAGCAGGAGTCAGTCTCTTTCTGGTGGGTAACCAAGAGCAATGGCAATAACCAGTATTAAGGGTCTATAGTAACCTGCTGGTCAACAACTCCAAAAGAGGTAGCCATTCTTAACATTGAGCTTTTTATTTGCTAGCCTGTGGTGTCTGGTGCAGACATTATCCTCAAATTGCTTGTATCAGGGGAATACAAATCATACTGACAGTGGGCAAGTATGTGGAAGATGATTAAAATGCAAATTGAAAGTCTTTAGGTTGTGTGTGTGTGTGTGTGTGTGTGTGTGTGTGTGCGCGCGCGTGTGTATGTTTGACAGGGTCTCCCTAGTTCTAGCCTGCCTGGAACTCATTATGTAGACCAAACTGGCCTCCATCTTCCTCCAGAGGCCTGGGATTATAGGGGTGTGCCACCATGCCCAGCCTTGTTTGCATACTTTGAGGTACTGGGAATTGAACACAGGGCCTCATGCATGCTAGTAAGTGCTCCATCATTGAGCTATAACCCCAGTAAACTGAAGTTCTTAGAAGGACAAATTATTACAACTTAATTCTTTTGATCTGGGATTTCTATATCTAAGAGTTTAAAGAATATTAAAAGATAAATATAAAGAGTCTAAAGGAATGTTTGCATACTGGGTTAGGTGTGTGCTCAGTGACAGAGAGCTTATGTTAAGTTCCCCTTCTCCAGCACAGAAAAAAAGAGAAGGAAAGGAAAGTTCTGAATATGTCTACAAATGTAAATGCAACGATTGGCTATTTTATATTTTTCTATACTGGATATTGAACTCAGGACCTTGTCCATACTAGGCAAGTGCTCTACCACTGAGCAACACCAGCAGTCCTTTTTATTTTGAGACCAAACTTGCTCAGATTGGCTTTGAACTTGTGATCCTGGTCAGTTTCCAGTGTATTTGGGATTCTAGGTTTGTATCACCTCAACCAGGTAATATTACATATATATATATATATGTAATATTATATGTATATAGAACAGAAGTAATTGCCCACCAAAATTATAGGTATGCACCACTATGCCACCACGAGGGATTTATGTGATGCAAGGATCAAGTCTAGAACACAAAGCAGGAAGATCAAAAGTTCAAGATTATCCTTGGCTCCATGGTGAGTCTGAGAGCAGTTTTTTGAAAAAAAAAAAAAAAAATGAAGCTTCTATACATGACCCTGAGTTTATATATGGGCACAATTTAAAATAAAACTATAGAGTCTGGAGAGCTGACTCAGTGGTTAAGAGCACTGGGTGCTCTTGCAGAAGACCCAGGTTCAAATTCCAGCACCCACATGGTGGCTGACAGTCCTCTGTAATTCCAGTTCCAGGGAATCGGATGCCCTCCTCTGGCCTCTGTGGGTACTTCATGACACAGGTGCACTTACATACATGCATGCAATACACTCATATACATAAAATTGAAGTTAAAACATAAACTAAAGCTATAATAATTCTTTTATATATTGTGAGAATCATACACTTGATGCCTTTCCTAAAGAGGTCAGCAATCACTCAGCGCAGGGTCCTTGTTCAGCATGTTCTTGCTTCCCAGATCCTACAGGAAGAAGAATGAAAAATCAAACCAATAGCCATGGGCCAGGTCCAGGCTTCCTAATGAAACTCTGACCTTCCTTTTCGGAGGGAAAAACACCCTTTGAGACCAGTCTCTGGGGCTAACCAGCTCATTAATTTTAGGGTTACAAGGTCTTGGCAAAGGAATTCTTGTGGTGAATTGCATGTTAATTAGATTGCATTAGTGTTGCTTCAAGACTGCTGGGGGACAGTGGTATTTCAAGAGTTAATGAAAAGAAATCCTGATCTTTGTTTCTAATTAATTTTCTCCATTCTCATTTGCATTTTATTTGTTGGAATCCTTGCTGAGCTTTATCTGAATGAAACAAGAGCTCCCAGGGGGAGGGTCTGCCTCTTATTTAAAAATCTACTTCTGATAGAAAACTGCTTGGAAAGAGGGGACTGGGGTTAATGTGCTGTGCGTTTGCATTCTGTATCTCAATTGGCACTACCAATTAAAAGCTGCTTTGAGTCATTTCCATGCTGATGCTGGGGAGTGAAGCACGAGTCACTTAAAGGAGCATACATACTTAAAGCGTCCGTCGTTCCAAGGCTTCTGTCATCCACCATGCCATCCATGTTATCCACCATGTGTATATTTGGTTCCTTTGTTGGCTCCCAGACACTGGAATGCTTTTCATAACTCTGCCATGTTTTCCAAGCTGGGACGAGATCAGTCTTTGAGATCTGCATCCATAACCCAGGCCCAGGAATTCCTTTCCTTGAGGCGAAGAGGCTTTCCTGAGGCTCTGGTGACAAAATGCAGGACTCTGGATGATTCCGTGTGCCCTAGGCCCTTCTTGTCACCGGGCTGTGTTTGTTCAGCTGGAGCGATCAGGTGATTGCTTCTTCCAGAAGTTAATCATTTATGACAAATTTGCTTGGCTGCTTCATCTGCGTTGCAGATTAGCTAGAAAAGCTGGGATGTGGCCTTGTCCACATCCTTCCCCCACACTCTCACACTAGAGTCCAGGCTCCAGTGTTTACCAGTGTTTTCGCCTCACTTTCTGTACACCGTTCCTTCTGTCACTTTCTGTTCGCCCTCGGGCCTCCCTTGTCTCATAAATGATGAGGGGGCGGGTGCCTTTCAGGATTCTTGGTCTAGTTTATAAAAGAATTTAAGAATGGACTTAAAAGGAAGCTTTAGGACAATTTTATTAAAATTTAAAGAAAAATCCTCAGGGCAGGCAAGCTGTAAGTCTTAGCAGATGCCTTGAGGACGAGAATGGAGGGAAGAGGGAAGCAAAAACATAAGGCCATGCCTGTTTCCAGCCGGCATAGAGGTGTCATGGAGTGTGCTGGCAGCCACATGGCAGGAAGGCAGACAGAACGGAAGAGAAAGAGTAAAGGAGGGTAGCCCAGAGTGGTTGCATTTCCCGAGTGGGCAGACAGGAGAGCCAAGCCTGCCCGGATGGGAGGGGATGGAGGGGACGGAGGGGACGGAGGGCAGGAAAAGTTCATAGTCTCATTAACGCAGCAGGTATTTCGTCCATCCCTTTAACATGACGTAAAGTGAACCAGTCTCTCTAGGCGTGGACCTCTGACCAGGAGATTGACTGGCGAAACTGGAAATTGAATCATCATCCAGGCCAGACGTTCTTACCTCTTAACTAATTTTCTCTTATGGGGCTTTTTTTTTTCCACTGTAACATAAACATACAGATTCACAAATCCAACCTTCTTTCATCTTCGAGAATGTACCCAGATGCCAACCAAGGTGGTCCTCAGGCTAGATCTGAGCAAGGTAGCTGCAAGGTAGCTCCCTCGTGGGCTCTGGCCCTTTGCTCACTGACGACTACTGTGACACTCAATGCTAAATGTCAGCCTGTCTGTATTTCAACTTTCCTGCACAAAATCCAACTTTCCTCATGCTTAGTCCTCAGGTAGCTGTGGACCTTTGAGAGACCCATGGGAAAGTCAACTTGGGTTCACATCTAATCGGGATTTAGGGTCCTGTTCAGTTAAACTGGCTATCTTCATGGAAGAAAGGCCTCTAGACCCCCATCTCCCAAAACACACACTTTGCTGCTCTCTTGGCCTAAGGACATGAAGGGGTTCTTAGGGATCTCTCTCTGAAATGAACGGGTCCCTCTTAACTATGAGAAGCACTGTCTTGAAAGGCTTGCAGCTCCAAGACAGTATACTGAAACCTTTAAAACTGTAGAACTTATTTGTGCAGGAAACCATGGAAATTTTCCAATGATCGCCATCCAAAAAAATTTTATGACACCATCCATATCAGTTGTGATACTGAATCTTCTACACAGTCAATTAAAAAAAATTCTATCAACCAGGCTGAGAAAAGACCTCTGATCTTGTATTTCATGTTACATTTTTGCCATGCTCAGTGAGTCTGTAGGAAGGAAAGTATCAGAATTTAATTCATTTTTGTTCTTGTATGTTATTTGTTTTTATATTACTTTTTCCTGCAACTTCTGATGCACATAATATTTGTCAGTGTTCAAAGATTTATAATTTGTGTTTTTACTTCTCTCAGACCTGTACCCAATTTTATATCTGTTTTTCTTTTTAATAAAGTGGAATCCTGAGATTGTTTAAGACTTAAAGTACTGAGTTGATAGATCTGTGCCTCATCCCAAGGGACACAGATCTTGAAATTACTGTGAAACTTGTGGAAAATAATTTGTCTAGTGCAGCTTCTAAATTAAGAAGTTTTAACTTAAAAGTCAACCCCCCAAAAAAGAATCCTTTCAATTTTCAGCCTGTTGTGTTTCAGAGCACCAGGTTTTAGAGAGTGACTTCCAACCCAGGTACTAGAAATCACATATTTGAGCCTAAGGAAAGTCCATAAGTATTAGAAAATGCTATTATGAATCTGTACTCAGAATTTCTGGTTTCTATAAAATAAGATTTCAGACTAGAGGACATCCATTTCCACATGTTAGACCAGCACTTAGAAATCTCTAAAAATATAAAGCAATCTTTAGTAGGAGGGAAGCCATGTCATAAAAAAAATTTGGCTGGTTCTTAGGAACAGTTAGTTACCAGGCAGAGCGAGAATTGGTGTTTGTCTTCTAACAGATCATAATACCAGGTGGCGGAGAGAAAGGAGGGAAGGAGTCACATGCAGTGTGTTTCAAAGAGGGTTGCTGTGTTATGCAAAAGGCATGGATCCCAGAGGATCCATGTGCCTTCCCTACTGCTCAGCTGGGGCTTGTCTGGCACTTGGTAGCAGTCACGGGAGGGGAGGGGTGTAACAGACTGGTAGAAACTACTTGTAGGGAAGGAACCTTCTGCTTCCACTTATGAACACATCCCAAAGGATAAATTCCTGTGGGACACAAGGTAATTCAGATCTGATTATATTGTGGTTTTCCAACTGCAGTTCTGGTATCACATTGAGGGCTTGTTAAACTGGTTTCTGGACAGAAGTCCCAGGATTTTTTTTTTTTTTTTGCTACAGGGTCTCCCTGACCCAAAACTTGCCATATAGACCAGGCTGGTTTCATCTCACAGAGATCCGCCTGCCTCTGCCTCCTGAGAGCTGTGATTGAAGGTTTGTGCTCATGCCCGGGGAAGCCCCAGGATTTCTGATTCAGCAACTCTGCACTAGATATTGGGAATTTGCATTTTGAGCAACTTCCCTGGTGATGCTGCTGCTGATGCGAAAGTACCACACAAACCAACCGCCAGAGACTGACCCCAACCTGCAGCTGCTCTTCTTTGTTCAGACCATGCGACAAGAGAGCTGCCACCATCACTTGCGTTTTGGCAGAGACAAAAAGGCAGGCAGAGTAGAAAAGAATAGTGTAGTGAAAAGGGAAGACTTGCTCCTGACAAGATCTGATCAGAGGTTGGGGAGTTGGAGGTGGGCTAGCTGACATTCTGAAAGAATGACTCGCGGTATACATTTGTCTTTCTCTGGTTTTAAATTGGAAGTAGGAACAAAAATTAGAGAAACTTTCCATTATTAGTCAAGTGCTGTTATTGGGGCTAATTATAAGAAGGCTGTTGTTGGCTTCCCAGGCTGATTGCTAGAGATGCTGATCTGACTTGCTGTAAGTTTGATTGACAGATTTTTAAACTATTTTTTATTGACAGTGGATTGATTTCCTGCTTTAATTACTGCATAGCTTTGTGTGTGGTTTTAACTACTGAGTCATTTGTAAATCAAGTCTCTCAGGTCTCCATGAAAGGAAGTTCTTGTCTAAATAAAGAAAATCATCTTGATGACCACAGTAGCTGAAAACCAAGTCCCTTTTCATTCAGTCACTCCCAAACACTTGTGCTATGGCAAATGTTGGCACTTGGGCACAGCTGGAAACCAGGTAAGCTTAGTCCCTGTAAAGCCCCTTTAGAGCTGACAGTCTATACAGGACAAATAGCTTAACTGAGTAATTTTAATGGAAGATGATGAGTGTATTTGTTTCAATATGAGCCTGTTGTGAGGGAAGAGGAATCTGGGTGAGATCTGCACTGAGATTTGAAGAGGAAATGGCACTCGGTGGAAGTTGACAGCGGGAAATTGGAGAGAGCACATTTTTGTAGGCTAGGGTCATTGGGTAATGAATGTGTGCCACTGCTGTAAGCAAGCTCTCCCAGCTCTCAGAGACTGCAGATAAAAAGAGGCTATTTTTCACTCACACCAAGACTAAGGCAGATGAGATGGCTCTCCTACGTGACTCTTTTCCAAAAACTAACTCTGGGACTCTGTAACACCTCATTTCTCAGTGCACAGATGGAGGTGGTTGGAGATGCAGAGTAAGAAACCTCACGCCAGTTCTCACTCTTTGTACTGGAGATGGATCACCACATGTCATTGGTGAAGATTAACCACGCACCTTCCTAGATTCATCGTGCCTGGGAAACAGAGAGACAGACAGCCACATGGTAAGCACTGGAAATTTCTAAAGGGGCTAAGATTGCAGACAGGAGGTAGCGGTGCATTTTTGAGAAGTCCTTTCTGTGTGCATAGGGTATGAAGGGTCAAAGGGCAGCTGTTAAGACTGAGGAGAATAGGAGGCTAGATCATGTGGGAGCAGCTTTGTTGGGGAATTTGTGCTTCACTCATAGGCTAATGGAGCCATTTGAAGATTAATGAAAGGAAGTGCTGGATCCCATTAGTGACTTCTAGAAGATTGCCATGGATTCATTCTGGATCATGGGCTGGAGTGGGCCAGACTAAACAGAACAATGGAGTGTGTTGGCAATAAAATGCAGTCTTCATGAATTCATCCTTCGTCCGCAGAAATAGTAGAGTTCAGCATGAACATGGTGTTAAGCAATTTTAAATTAGCTGCTTTATTTACTAATTCTTTTGATTGCTAGTTTAAACGTGGTTCTCATGTATCCTCAAAATCAAAGTTGGACTTTTGGAGGTTAAATATGTGCGTGTGATCAGTTTTCACAGGGAAGTAATGCATCAGAATTCTAATTTGAATGGAAAGGTCAAATCTTGAGAAATGATGATAAATAAGCTTGAAAGCCTAGGGGTCAGCAAAGGAATCTTCACAATGGGAGAAACTAGTACAGAAATGCAGAAGACAAATGACAGTAAGAACACACAGGGAACTCTAGCTGAACTCTAGCTCTGCTATCAATGTCCTGTGGGACTGGGTGCTTGCTTGCTGCCCAAATGGGAAGACCCAACCTCAGATTTGTTCTGTAGACATAGGGAGGAAAGAAGGCTGTGGACATGCCTGGAAGCAAGTGCATTCCTTATTTTAAATTTGAATTTTAGTATTTTAAATGGCGAGTGTGTATGAGTGTGTGTGTGTGTGTGTGTGTGTGTGTGTACATGAGTGCATGTACCATGGAAGGCCCTTGGAGCTGGAGTTATAGGCAGATGTGGGT